TGGTGTAATAGATAATATATTATTAATCGTAGAAACAGTTAGGATCTTGACGAAAATCCTAAGCAACTATAGTCATAATGAAGTTTTAACGGGCCTGTATTTTCTTTTACTGATGTTTCGGACTCTTTACAGGTTCCGTGTTCACGTAAGACTTGATTGTCTTTTTAATAAGAGTGTAGCTACCTTCAAAACAATACTAATGGCCATATTGACAATACAAAAATCAAAGAATTGTATGCAAATCTTTACATTTTCATAAAATATCAAAAATACCTAAATAACATTAGCAAGAATTGTAGAAAGATTTGTTGATTACAGATTAATTAGCAAAAGTTAGGTAAGATGTTTGCTTACTGTTATCAGATGTTTGTCTTTGTCAACATCAATAGGTACATTGCACCTTCGAAATAGTTTGGAAACGCTCATCGGGTGTCGCAAGTGTTTGAGTAATATTAGCCGGCTTGCATTCCATGTTTAATAGCTATTGCTTATAATGTACACTTGTTAATATTAAATGCTATTACGACTTTCTCACACCAAGAGCTGTCTGTCAAAACAATGGAATTGGAATGGGTAGATTTTGCAACTGAAATGATTGACTGAGAGGTAAAAGCTGTTAATGTTAATTCCATATCTCTATAGATATTCCATAGATACTCTTATAGTAATTTAATGAAATGACTATTCATTACACTGGCAATTCATTTCATTCATATAAGTAAGTGATTATAGTACATGATCAAACGAACTTCACAAGTGAAATTCGATCAGTAATATATGAATACACTTCGTCCGAAGATATAAAATATCCCTTTAAACTACAAGGCAATATCGCACGTATTTCAGAGATCGTCTTTAGAATAAGAAAATTTCGCTGTCAACCTACTCCCATCCATAGTGCACATAATCATTATTTTAGAGATTTTTTCCAAAACTTCGAAAGGGTATGGGTTGGAGGGAGATTATATCTTTGAATGCAACGTATTCAAATAATACTGATCGAATTTCACTTGTGAAATTAGTTTGATTATGTATTATATTTCATCGCTTGATACTTCGATATAATAAATTATGTAGATGTTTAGAGTTTTGATATTATAAATAAAAAAATAGATTGTGTTTTGTTTTTCCTGTTAATTTTATATACGTTCTCATAAAGACGGATCTAAAGAGCTTAACCACGATGCAGTTTTGTCATTTCATCACTAAGCTCCTATGAACACCTTCAGACATCATCATCATATCAGGTTACTGATACCATGACATTGCCATGTTATCTGATTTACATGTCTATGCCCAATTTCAAATCTAGCAGACATTGGGAAGTGGGTTAAATTTGAGTTCAAAGATGTGTTCACTAATCAACACACTAAAAGGCAAAAGTTAAATAAAAGCTTGTAAAAATTATAGCACAGTGTCAGTGTTAGCATTGAACCAAAATCAATCCAATTCCAGACTAAGCATAGTTAATAACACGTACACTGTTAATATAAAAAACAAAATGGCAATTTAATTTCACAGCTATTAATTCTATATGTCTCATGCTGTATCGTGTACGTGCCTCTAAGCTATTATGTCGCGTCACAAGACATAGCAACCTTGGACCATATTGCAGGCCGAATTACTCACTGTTTTAATGCAAGATGTGTTCATTGATACAGACCTTTTAATCTTTATTATTTTAAACATGTAACTTAGATAATTTTGTAGTTTTTATTATCTTTAAGATTGAGATAATTGGATTGTTTTAAACTACATAGCTGTACTATTGGTCATAATTCATCTTAGATTTTGTTAATTATGTTAGTTGCCAACTGAGTCGAAATAATGCCTGTCCCACGCAGTTATTGCAATGAAATTTCATTTTTGGATGCTTAATTTCGCAGTAGTAATTAAATACGTTTACAATAAACTCGTTGAGAGTTACTTTGCCATTGTATTACTCTTATCGTATATTATGTGGCCTTGATGGTGCAGTAGTTAGCGTGTTCGATTTAAGATGCGGAAGTTTAGCATCTTTCGCAATTGGTGGTCTTAGGACCTCCGTGCTTTGAGAGGTACGTTCAGCCGTTGGTTCCGACTGTGTCTGTAGTCGTTAATATCCAATTCATATTGGGCCTCTGTGGTGGGGCATGGCATATTCTCTATATTCAATTTGATTTGAATCTCTTCATAGGGAATGCACGTGAATCAGGAGATATTAAATGATTGATGAAAATAAATTATTAATAGTGAAAAACGTGCTGAATGACACACATCAATTTTACCGTAGCTTCTCCAACAATAATTTTGTTCATTTTCGAAATGCTAATATGTCTCCAAAGAAATTCAATGATAATTTATCATTCAAAGGAGGTAGGGCAGATGAATGCACAGATAATTTGCACGGATATGATTGCAACAAAAATATAAGACCGATTCGAAATTTTTAGAATTTTCGTTCGTGGACAAATTGCTTCAGCCATGCGATTACATAAAAATCCAAACCCGAATTCGAATTCACTCAGGTGTCTGAATTCACTTTAAAATGCGACATCCGCTTAATCTTGAATTGGTAATATCGTTTCGTGGCATAAGTGAAGTGAGTTTCGAAATGACAGGAATAGAATATCTGAGACACGTATAAACAATCAATTTGGTTTTGTATTGTTATACCGAAAATGGAATCAATAGAATTTCTTCACTTAATGACGTGAATTCTGACACATGAGTGAATTCGAATTCGGGTTAGGATTTTGACAGAATCGTTCTGCAGGTCAGACTGCAGGACCTACTACGAAAATTCAATGCACCATGTTTGTTCTGTTAAACATTATTATTTGCTCAATAATAAAATATCATCATCTCATCAGCTTATTAAATTTTTGGCTGGGTGTACATGCCTTCCCTATGAATGGTATTAATAGTAGTGTAATAATAGTTATTAAAGGTGAACGGCCATATGTCGGCACGCACGCACCGGTCACACGACACGCAACGCAACGACACGTCGCATTTTTCATGGAAGGATATATGAATATTGCGACTGCAGTGGACGTGTAACAACGACAAAGCCGTGCAATGCGTTGCGTGTCGTGCGGCTGGTGCGTGCGTGCCGAGGCAGTGGATGAGAACCTTAAATATAAGATTACGTAAATGAAACGAGAAACGTCATCGAATTAATCGCATTGTATTATATCTTTAAAAATCTATGTTAACCAAGCCTGAGACGTTTCATTAATTATTCTGAATTGATCTGAAATATACTAGAATTGTTCAGTAAAACTTCCGATGATTTCAATTACTTCGAATATAATTTGTATTATACATAATATTCCTCTTGAGTCACTCTGTGTATTGAAGAAAACCGCATGAAAATTGTTGTGTATGTAGTTTCAAAGATCTTAGCCCACAGACAGTAGGAAGGGGCCCTCGGTCAGAGGAGACTGCGTACTCCTGACATTTATTATTATGCAATTAGTAAAAAAAAATGAATATCCGATGAATTTGCCACGAGCCTCAAACGGTATAGTTACGCCACTGCGGGAAGCTACTTTGTTTTATATCGTACTATAATCAGAAAAAAAGAAAATAGATACAAGTGTTAATGGGTGTAAGTGTTACAGAGCAAAAAAAAGAAGAAACGGAATCAGCACAGTTATTTATTGAGTGGCATAATAGAATTTATAGAACAAGTCTCATGCTTTTGGTATATTTTTGCGTTAAAAAATGCAACTAAGAATATTTATTGTTGTTACGTATAAATGATATTTGATAGTTCCTCTCTTTGTATGGAAAGGCGGAACAAGAAACTTCCGATGCTAGAGGCAAGGTAATTTGCTCGCTATAGGTCTTAGTCCGGGTGATTATTTGAAGAATTAAAAAATAAACCTGATCTCATTACACTATGAGTGTTCTATTTTTTTGGCAAGTCAAATAATTCTTTATTTGAATAGGATTATTTTCAATAAGTGCCTATTTTGCATAACAGACATATTAGTGTCTGTTCTTCATCATCAGCTTTTTTATGTCCCCGCTGCAGGGGGTCAGGCCTTCCTTATGGATGGTTAAGAGGGATGGGCTATGACTAGTGTTGCCAGGTCCAATTTATTATTAATCGGGACAGCGCGTGTAATTAATCGGGATTTAGGGTTGTAAATCGGGACAGACAAAAAACAAGTATTTGGTAGCTTTTTTGCTTTCAGACATAGATAAATATAGTTAGGGGCTTTCAAAAATGGATTTGTCAGTACGAAAAAAAAAAAATTTTTATATAAAAATACTTGATTTTTCGTGACATTTAGCGTCCCGATTAGGTACAAATCGGGACGCGTCCCCGGACCCCTGAAAATCGGGACACCTGGCAACACTAGCTATGACCCTCCACGCTGGCCCAATGCGGATTGGAGGGTGTTAACGACTGCAAATGCAGCCGAGACGTGCCTTCCGAAGCACGGAGTAGCTCGAGATAATTTTTTTTGGTCTCCCATCCCGTGACCGACCCTTGCGAAAGTTGCTTAACGACAACGATCGTTGGCCGCGGCGCTTCTCCACTCTCATGTTCTGTATATTTCTAGAAATATAACTTTTCTTCTTATAAAACTTTACTAATTCAAACCGGGTCACCGATTCTTGTGAAAATTGCTATACAACCTTAAGTATAACGACTTAAGAGATTGAATTTAAATTGTACTAATATAAGAGGTAGAGATAATTCTATTTCGATATTATAATTGGTATATTAGTTACCCAAGATTATTTATTAAGAGTCAGTTGACAACACTTTAGAACTTGATGTAAGCACAGATATTTTAATGCTATTATACTAGTAACATAAGTAGCATTATCTGTCCATGTCTAGATGTAAGATTTAAAATTATCTTATTTCATACAACAGCATTCCGTTTTGTTTGAGTTTTTAATAGCTTGTAACTTAATTACCCTTCTGTCCTTATCCTCTGATACACCGCACCTTAGTACAATATTCGCTCATTTATTTTTTAAACTCCCAGCTTTGTAGTTGTCCCGGAAGCGAGCAGAAGGTTGTTCGAAAAGGCTATATATTCGATGCAACGTAAGCGCCCGCGCACTGTCCGCTAATCCGCGGTTGCTGTTGACACATTGACCGTGAATTTAAAAGTAAGTGACGTTATTGTGGAACGAGTCTTTTTTTTTTAATTTTGTTCGAATGTGGTGTTCTCCGGTGCTTCTTTTAAATTCGGAATTCTGTTTTAAATTTAGTTATTTTACGTTATAAAGAGGTGTCGTTAAAAAGTTTTCATCGTGTGTGAGTGACAACAACTGAACGTTCAATAATTTTCATACCAATTTGATATCCTTAAATTTATAATCATTCAAGCTATTTTGTAGGCAAAGGAAAATACAGTAAAGTCACACTCTAACTTGAATGATGAATTATATAATACATAATGTGTTTTATTTAGAAATAATTGTTTTAGATTTAAAGTGTGATTTATTTTAAGTGAAAGTTCGGAACTTTTAGTTTCGTTTCCTTCTCTTAAATTGGTAAGAATAAAACAATTCCATATATATTAAAGTGGTCGAAGTTTTAGTAATGATATTGATTTAGCTACCTACTGCAAATAAAGTCCTTATACTTGAGAAACATTTTGCTTACAAACCTAGTTACTTCCTTGCAAAGTTTGTACCGGCATGAATATTAATGATATTTAGCATCGTCGCAAATTAACAGAACTAACATGTACTATAATTTGCATACCTACTACTCTCTCGTTGGAGTTAATAAGTATATGCAAATTTTAGTATAATTATTTAACTTTATTGTGTTTGTGTGCTTAATGTGATGTAATAGAGTTACAACATTTAGTCACGAGATGTTCAAATATTAATTTCGGAGCTGAGTAACAAAAGGATGTGAGAATTTTGCCTCTATAATAATGTCGTTATGTTGTACTATTCGCCAAAGTAAAAAGAATAATAAAATTTAATTTCAATGTTCCTTAAACTATAAAACAATACTTTTATTATTATATTACTAGAATTGAAAAAGCAGATTGACAGGATTAAAACACAATTCAGTTTAGTTTGTGCTTTATATTGCTATCGATATCTATCGTGAGTTGATATAAACTTGCAAACTGTCTATAGTACGGTTTAATTGAACTAATGTTAAGTTTATTTACATTAGTTTAATTAAACTTGTTATTAGTTCAATTAAAAGCGACATTACCGATGTTTTTTTGAAATTAGGAACTTTAATTAGAGGTTAAAATTGTCATTAAATAACATTTGCAACTGGATGTTAGATTTCGAGTACATTAGAAGTAAAACAACTGCTATGTATCGATAAGAACAATTTACTATTCAATTGATAGGTAGTCAAAATTACAATGTTTAATTGTATTATTGGCGCGAATCTGAAGAAAGTCAAAGTGATAGTGACAGCTGACTAATTAAGAGATGCTCGTAGTGCAATTGACCAATAATGATGCTCACAGTAGTCGATCTTTTTCCATCATCTTAACAGATTTGAGTGTTGTGAAATAAAGAGGTATTTTCATTTGAGTTATTGATCCTTTCATAAAATATCGAATATGGTATCGATACTTTGAATCGATATTAGTATTGTGTGTCTACTCGTATTGAACAAACGGTGGTAAATATTGATCACGAAATAAAGTAGTTTGTCGGGTGCAAGCTTCACGACATGATGTGCTAGTCTATGGGCAATTTTTTAGTATCACACAGCTCTCGTAATTGTAGTCGTTTGAAGCCTATATTTTGTGTCTATGACCGTTTAAATGGATCTTAAAATATGACAATGACTAAAATATAAAAAACACATCAAGTACATATTAGAATTTTGTATAGTTATGTTATGACTAACTCAATAGGGGTGCGACTGCCTATCACTCTAGCCATAGTATACGGCATTATAGCGATAATATGTGGTTTTATGTTACTGTTTTGACTAGAGTCACGCAGTCGTTAGGCAGTCGCATCCATTATCCAGATATTAATCTTCTTTTTCTAAATATAAAATACTCCTGATTGAACTAAATAGCGTTAATTATTGAATTTGAATAAATAGTTCTAATTATAAATATATATTTGTTCAAGAAAGAGAAAAAAGAAAATTTGTTTTTTATAAAGTTTAAATTTCGAATTTGCAGATCAAAATGCGTCGTTTGCTGATTGCCGCCGCTGTGCTCGCGGTCGTCCGGGCCCGTCCCGGCCTTCTTTTTGCTCAACCCTTCCATGCTATAGGGGTAGAATACGCCCCCCAAGTAGCACCAGCAGTCAGACCCCACCCTGCAGTCGAGCTGAATGCGGCGAGTGAAGCCTTATTGCCACGAGAACTGCTCAAATCGAACGATTTCTATGACAATCCAATCGTTGCCTCTGGCTTAGCTAAGGAATCATGGTTCACGAATAAAGAAATGCAAGTGGTGGAAAGGGAAGCGGAGAAGATTCCAAGGGAAAGAATATACCATATAGTAAAGAATGCCGGTTTCTTAGATAGGCATTAATTAAATACAAACAATGAATGACCCACTGCCATATTTAGAAATGTCCTTTAATTTTAATTATGCTTAAGAGACAAATATAGTAAAAACTAAAAACGATATAAACAAAGACAATCTTTGATTGAAAAAAAAATCTTAATTGAAGTCATATCATTTAGTTTGATAATTATGTGTAAATTAATGAAGTGCTCAAATACAAAAGAAAACTATTTTGGGTATATTTGGGCCAAAACGATTTCGTTTAATACTGAGAAAATACCTATATTTTATTTACAATTTCGAATTACGTTTAATATATGTTTCAGAATAGTTTTATTACGTGTGTATACTTTGTATAATACTTTGTAAGTATTAATAAGTATTTTGTATTAATTATTTATCTTTGTGAAGTTTGTGGTTCAAGAACAACAGGTATTTAAACATTAGATAATATTGCAACCGAACTTGTAGTTTGTAAATAAACATGTAAACATGCGTCACCTCATTTATAATCTTCTCAACATTCGTTAATAAAGTATGTTGATCTTAGTCCTAAAAAGATGATAACAAATTACCATTTTATATATCCAATTAGACATGTAAGTTTTAAATTATATTAAACTGTAGTTATTTTATGTAAATAAATGATAAAATATGCATAGTTATTTTAAGGTTAAGATAGTTAAACCGGTTTACACTATTAAGTTAGTCAAGTTATTATATTTATTCTAATTAAAGTTTTAATAATTAGTAAATGCTGTGATCTCGGACAATAAGTACGCTGTGTAAGTTATTGTTCATATAGTTTTGTTAATAAAACTAGATTTTTATACAAAGAGGTATCGTTTTTACTTCATATCATATTTTGCATGTCACAGTCTTCACTGAATTCCGGTTTTTTGAAACTTCTTCCTCGTTTGCACGTTACCCAGCATTCGTGGACCGGTTTTTGGACAAAATCTGTGGAAATCAATTAAAATTTATCATCATTACCCTATTAATATAACTGTTATGGCACGGGCCTTCTTTATTGAGGATGGGTCATGACCAGTGCAGGTTGCAGCCGGGAACGGCTCAATGTACCTTTGAAAGTATAAAGGCGTTCGAGATAGTAAATTTTTGTTCACCCATCTCATGACTTGCGAAAGTTGTTTAATCCCTGCTTCTGCGGCAGTTGCTTATTAAATCACTACAGTTTCTTTAAACATTCTTATATTTGAAAAAAAAAGAACACAATGGTGCAGCGGTTAGCGCTTTTGGTCTGCGATACGGTTGTTAAGAAACGGCATGGCATGGCAAAACAGATTGCTCTAAATTTGAACCTTAAAAAATGCTTTGCTTTTTTGAACATGAGTTTATGTTCGCGGTATTTAAAAATACAGAATTTTCAGACCGGCACTACATAAGTTTCTTTTGTCCTTCATTAGTCTTTTATATTGTAATTTTAATATGTATCATATAAGGGCATCCAGTGCTTTGCCTAGAGCGTCTAGTTTCATTGAAAAGGTAGCGCCGTTTCAATGAAACTAGGCTACCTTGTGTTGTTGTTAAAATTTAAATACTGAGAATCTCCAATACTAAAATTGGCAAACTTAAGTAGACCTCTGACTAATAGTAATACGTATTAGAAAACTTTGAAGCTCCATTCTGTCGGAGGTCTATGAGATTCAGTCGTTTTATGAACAGTTTGACGTCAAAGAGTTGTCTCGGTAAGTGATCCCCTCTGAGTCACAGGGGAATGGTGTTCGTACATCTAACAAGGAGGCGAATACAACGAAGTATCCTTACACCCCGCAAATGAATGACCGGTGATATTAGAATTTTGGCGATGCACTTTACATTATGATAAAAAAAAGTCCTGGGTAAGATCAGTGGTTAGAGCGGTCGCCCAGATTGCGAAAGGTCATGGGTTCGAGTCCCATCTCAGAGTGCCAGGGACAAAATGGATATTTTCAGTATAGCATTGTGAATGCAAAATTAATTAAATATAGTATAAAAAAAAATCTTAATATCTGCTATAAAAATACTAACATGCACTGTTTTTATTTAAATACATAAAATAAAAAATGCGTGCATACGGAAGGCACGTTAAACATTAATGAGCTGGTGATCATGATACATATAACATAATCTTAAATTGACGGGCATTTGCTGCTGTGTCAGTATATAGTGAGCTGTTTCGACGATAAACGAATTTTCTTTCTTCTTTCTTTCTGTTGGACGGACGTGAGATGTAACGTTTACCTTTTTTGCTGTCACAGTTGAACTCGTGCATGTCACAGCTGTCTATGAATGTTCTCATTTCCCCACAGGAATCGATCCCGCATATAGGTACTTGGTCATGCCGGCAGATGTCAGCTATGTTGCATTCTTCGGTCAACTAAATAAACATATTCAAAATTTTATTAAAAAAAAATACATAAAGATTGAAAATTTATTTCATCTAATATAGAATATAAACAATTAGAGTTGTCACAGCATAGAGTTTCAATGAAATAAAACCGTCATTATCTTTCAAATAGGTTTTATTTGATGGAACTTCCATGTTTTCCGATTTCGAGGCTGCTTTTGCACCTATTCAATTTCCTTCGAATTAAATAATTGTAATATCATAATACTACCTCGCCCGGCAAACTTCGTACCGCTTTAGAATTAAATATAATGTATGAAAGTTACATTTGTAAATGTCATTACTACTATTAGAGCTGGTGAGTTTCTTGCTTGTTCTTCTTGTCAGCCAAAAGACGTCCTGAACGAGCGGTAGGGAAATATGTTGGACGATTCAAAAGTACTTTTAAGTAGTCTATTTGAATAAAGATTATTTTGACTTTGACATAAAATTAATTTCTGAAAATCTGAACGCATCCTCTTTGACAGGTACGAACACTTTATATGGGAATATAAAATTCTGACTTTTACTACAGTCCTTGTCAATGTCTTTATATTTTCCTTATACTTCTACAAATATTGCAAAATTAGCGCAAACAAATCAAGAAAAGTCAAATATTTTCCTAAAATAATATGAGTTAAGATAGAATAATATGATAACGTAAATTTACTTTAGCACTGTCCACGTGTCCATAGCACTGATTTGACTTGTTTAAAATAAAAAATAAACATAGAATTATATACTTCAACATATTTTAATGAAAAGGACATAAACAACTCTATATTTCCCATAATGCCATTTAAAGGCATAATAAAATCGGTACAGTGTTGATATAAAAACTCTAGAGTACGTATGTTCAATTTATTTATATCCAACCTTCTGTGATATGTAATTATATGTGTGATTTATGTGTAGAATAATGGCCTCCAATACGACTTTTGTTATGAAGTAAAAATAACTTTATCAGATAGGTTAAAAAATATCGATATGACGAAGTTTTATGTTCTAAGTATTATTGACAGTCATGGTTTTGCCGAATTATATGCTGAATAACGCAGTGATTTGCGCGTACGGTCTGAATGATAGAGAAGTAAAGCAACTTTCGCAATGACCGGCCATAAGATGGATGACCAATAATTTATTATCTCAAGCTTATTTATATAATAGAAGTTATTGGTTCCGGCTGCATCTGCAATCGTTAACACCCAGTAATCCGCTCTGTGCCCGCGTGGCCATTTCCCTTTTTCCCTGTTTAATTCTATCCATAGATGCCGCAGCAGTGGGGACAATTATACGCTCGAATATCGTTTCAAGCACCGTAGATATAAGCTTTTAAGTTGGCAGTTTTCATTAGATTAAATCAAAACAAAGTGGCTCACCGGGAAACGGTCTGTCTGCACGTCGATATCGTTTACACAACAGATTTTAGTGGGGTTTTCATCAATATATAGATTGATTCAAGAGAAAGGGTTATATGTATAATAATGTAGGAGCACTCGGGCGAAGCCGCTGGTGGAAATCTAGTATTAGAGTATATATTTTTAATGCAAAATTAATAAAATATCATACCATTTTAAATATTAAAAAATCCATTGATTTTTAAGCTTTTTTCATTAAGAATATTTTTCAGTATAGCATTATGAATGCGAAATTGATCAAATATAATAATAATACCATAAATCAAAATTTCTGTCTTTTTATTGGTTTTAAAGAATGCATGTTATTCCTGCATTCTTTTGATATGTTAAGATTGAATACTTTGAAGGTTTTTTTGTATGGGGATTCCATTTGGTTTAACATGGGTTATGGGATTTTAAATTAAACTTTGTGAAATTTTCGAATGTCTAAATAAAAAAAAGTAGAGTTAATAAAACTAGAATAGTAGAAAACATTTTAGAGACTGACCTAAAAAAGTTATAAATAAAGTAACAGATGTTTCATTTAAACAAATATCCAGATTATATTTCGATACTAGAGGAATGGATCCCGATACAAAACAATACAGGAGTTGTAAATCCAGTAAATATTTTTAACAATCAGTTTTATTTATCTGTTTAGATCACTATACATTTTATTAAGAAAAAGTTTTAAGAAAACGCCTGAGAGATCACAGTCTATTATTTGACTTGACGTTGATATTGCAATCTGTTCGGAACTCAGGCTTCTTGAAGGATCGACCTCTTTTACAGGTAACCCAACACTCATGGATAGGTCGTTGCTTGAAATCTGAAAATAGTACACATTATGCAACTTTATTATGTAACTTTATGACAACTTATGACAACTTTAACAAAATGCAAGAAACAAGATTGTTTTAAAATGGAACATATACTATTCAATGAATTTATTTAATGTCACAGTGTCGTTTCTAATAGTTTTACAAGAAAGTACCAACAAGACAACCCTGATGTATATTGGCGCAAAACTAATCTTCTTCTTCTATTTTAATGGCTATTTTGTGTTAACCACAATCCTGCCAATCAAAACTAATCAAACGACAATGTAAAAGTGACTGACTGCTAACTGACAGATAGGGATGTCCGCAGTGTACCTAATCGACAATGAGGAAGTATTAAAAAAAAAGAAAGTACTAAAAAAGCACCTCCACTAGATGGCGACTCTAGCAAAAGTTGATTTTTGCAGGAAACGTATGGACCAAAGACAGTCATTTCCGTTCCTTTTAACTAACATATTAAAAAACTGAAATTTTGAAAAGTTCGAAACTTAGATACTCGTATCAATACAAACGCGAAAAAGTACAAATAGAATATGA